TCTCTTTACTTTGATCAGATCAGTTTGAAAATGAATCCGGATGTTTTTTCCCGGTAACGCATCAGGAGTAGAAGAAGAAAAAAAATTCACATATAGATGATGAGCTTTTTTCGTTACCGCTATTTACATGATTAAAAAATGGAAATCGTTTTATATATATATAGGTCTCGGCGGTATATGGGGTTCAAGATCTTTATCACAAACAGCAATTGAACGTGAAGTTAATTCACAATTAACACAGGTTTAAAAAATAGAAAAAAAAAAAGATTTTTTTGTAATTAAAATTTTCTTATTCTTAGATTTTGGATGGTTTTTTATTTGTTCTTGGTCCTGATGGTAAAATAATGTATATATCTGAAACAGCATCAACACATTTAGGTTTATCACAAGTTGAATTAACAGGAAATTCTATATATGAATATATACATCCAATTGATCATGAAGAAATGGCCAATGTATTAACAGTACCATTACCAACATATTGTACAAATAATAGTGAATATGAAATTGATCGTTCATTTTTTATACGTATGAAATGTGTTTTGGCTAAACGTAATGCTGGTTTAACAGCAAGTGGTTTTAAAGTTATACATTGTTCAGGTTATCTTAAAATAAAACAATTTAATTTTGATACATTATCATGTTATAATTCAACAAATAATTTAAATAGTACTGAAAATTATTATCAAAATATTGGTCTTCTTGCATATGGATATTCATTACCAAATTCTTCAATAACTGAAGTACGTCTTTATTCTAATATGTTTATGTTTCGTGCTGGACAAGATTTAAAATTATTATTTCTTGATTCAAGGTAATAAAACAAAAAACAGGATTTGATTTTTACTAGAAAACAAAAAATATATTCATTTTAGAGTATCACAAATAACAGGATATGAACCACAAGATTTAGTTGATAGAAGTTTATATCATTATGTACATACACAAGATTTAATGGCATTAAGATGGGCTCATCAAATTTGTAAGTAATAGATTAATTTAATATGAATTTATTTATTGGTCTTTAATTATATTGTCATGAATATTTTTGTCATCTCTAGTTTAAATTTCACTTTAAGGAAGTCTCTTCAAAAATGAAAAGTTTTTTGTTTTTCGAGCATTCAATCTTGATGAAAATTTCAGTTCGATATATTGAGTCTACGAAAAGTTAGCTTAAGATTATAAGTCAAAATTTAGAATTCTGTGCGTACCAAATTTCTCCATCATTTCAAATGCTGGAAAGGTCGGATTGGTTTTAAAGCGTAGCTAAGATGTAGTGCTACAATTTAACAAAGTCCGATTTTCTCTTAGCTTGTATTTTTGGAAAACTTCTCTGATGAAATACCCGAGGGGTGTATGTCCAGAACAGTTAGTTTTTTTCTATAAACATTAATGGGGAAATCGAAAAATTCGGCTGTGGTACATTGTAGAGCTAATTTTTGCCTTCATTTTGACACCAAGCTTAGCTTTCTAGCATTTAAAATGGCGAAATGTACAGAAATGTAAAAATCAAAAACTCTATTTTGAGAAAAACCGTTATTTTCTTCTATGGAGGATTCAGAAAAACCTATGTAATAT